AACATCTTAGGACCTCTGTTTACCATCCCCAGACAGACGGACTGGTAGAACGGTTTAACAAGACCTTAAAAAGTATGTTACGGAAAGTAATTGACAAAGATGGTAAGAATTGGGACTGCTTACTACCCTATCTAATGTTCTCCATAAGGGAGGTGCCACAAGCTTCTACGGGCTTCTCTCCTTTTGAGCTTCTATATGCCCATCATCCCAGAGGTCTGCTAGATATAGCAAAAGAAACCTGGGAACAGGAGTCCAATCCATACTGTAGTGTAATTGAGCACATAGCTCAAATGCAAGATAGGATGGCGGCTGTCATGCCAATAGTTAAAGAACATATGCAGAAAGCCCAAGAGGCCCAGAAAAACAGTTATAATAAAAATGCCAGACTGAGAGTTTTTCACCCAGGAGACAGGGTGCTTGTTTTGGTCCCTACAGTAGAAAATAAATTTCTAGCATCTTGGCATGGTCCGTATGAGGTTATTGAACAGGTTGGGGAAGTTAATTATAAAGTGAGACAACCCAATAGGAGAAAACCCGAGCAAATATATCATATAAATTTACTAAAACCCTGGAAGGACAGAGAGGTCTTAACTACTTCAATCATCACTAATAAGACTGGTAGTGAACTTGAAGTAAACATACCAGACACCCTGTCCCCACACCAGAAACAAGAAGTAAGGGACTTTATTGGTAGAAACCGGGATGTATTTTCTGTAGTTCCTGGCAGGACTAACGTTATCAAGCATGATATCGTTACAGAACCAGGGGTGAAGATAAGTCTTAAACCGTACAGAATCCCAGAAGCACAGAAAGAGGCAGTAGCTGCAGAAATTAAGAAAATGTTAGCTCTTGATATTATTGAGGAATCACAAAGTGAGTGGAACAGCCCTATAGTACTGGTGCCAAAACCTGATGGTTCGTTAAGATTTTGTAATGATTTTCGTAAATTCAATAGTGTGTCAAAGTTTGATGCTTATCCAATGCCTAGGGTTGATGAACTGATAGAGAGACTGGGTAAGGCTCGGTACCTGACTACTTTAGACCTGACGAAGGGTTATTGGCAAGTACCTCTTACAGACAGAGCAAAAGAAAAGACAGCTTTTTCGACATCAGGGGGATTATTCCAATACAAGGTGCTACCATTTGGGTTACATGGGGCCCCTGCCACTTTTCAAAGACTGATTGATAGGATTTTGAAGCCTCAAAGCCGTTATGCAGCCGCATACCTAGATGACATAGTCATTCACAGTCCTGACTGGGCTTCACATCTTCCCAAAGTGCAGGCAGTACTGGACTCTATCCGCCTAGCTGGTTTAACTGCTAACCCATCTAAGTGTACTATAGGTTTGGAAGAGGCAAAAT